GCGAAGCTCCGGTTTGTTGCATGCTGGGTCTTGCTGAATGCTGGTCTTTCTTCACGTAATGAAGGTTGCTTAAGGGTTTCTGACTGGCATTTCTGTTTGGCTCTATTTGATTCCACTCTTTCCTTATATTCGGTTCAAATTACGTAATCAAAGACCATGTTGTCATTTAAATTTCTAGAACCTCCTTCCTTTGATAGTTTTTCCTTCTTTATTGTACAATTAAAACCCTGTAAAAATTAATGCAGCTGTCTGCTAGGACCATGTTTCTGTAGTTCCTGCTTTTGAGAAATCTGGTGAACCGTCTGGTCCTTCGAACAACCGACCAATTAGTCTTCTACCAATCTTTTGGCAAGGTACTAAAACCTCTAATCAACTCCAATTTGGTTGGGCATCTCACCTCGCGGAGTCTTCCTTCAGACAAACAATATGGTTTTCACTTCTCTAGATCAGCCGCTGATGTGTTAACGGTTTTTACTGAAGAGGTCTGTGGAGCTTTAGATAAGATTTATGTTGGCAGAGTCTTGAGGGTCTTCTTCACAAGCTGAAGGGTTTCTAACTGATTCTTTGGTTTGATTCAATCTTTCTTATCAAACTACGCAATTAAGGTTGTCTTAAACGACCACTCCTCTAGACCATTATGCATTAATGCAGCTGTCTCCAGGACTTAAATTAATTCATCAACGACATTCCTTGCTAGGTATTTATGTGGCGGAGGGCAAGACTGTTTACTCTTTTTGTGATCTGGAACTTTTTTGTGAACTGGGGCAAGAAGTAGTTAATTTTAACGCCTCTAAAAACTGATCTCATTTAATCATCTTAAAGAACTTTTTTTACCTTCCATCAGTATGGCTGATGCTAACCTCCTACGCCTTCATTGTTTCACTTTTTCCAATGATATGAAGTGGAATGATTATATTGAATTAATTACTAAGTCTGCTGTTTGAAAGTCGACTCACTATGCCATGCTTGATCATTTTCTCGACAGTATCTATTTTACACATTTATCTGGTCTGGCACTGTGATGGGTGTAAAGAATTGGCAAGGTTATTGGTCCTAACCTGGCATCTCGGCGTCCGTTATTTTCCCACCGACATAATGTATCTTCCCCTTGTCGCTTCAATAATTATTTTTATGGTAATTGTTCTGATAAACCTTTCTTGTTGCTACATCGAGTTCACGAATTGGCAGCTAGGGCTGAGAATTTCACTGTTGAAATTGTTGACTGTAAATGCAAATTCTGTGCTCAGAGATTATTATTCTATATTTCTCGCTGTCAGGAATCACTTCCGGCTTCCTTCAAAAATATGAATGCAACGTGAATCCTGTTCTTATATTGTCCATATCTGTTTCTTTGTGTGGCGAAAACAATTAAGAACAAGTTCGTCTATGGAACTACGTAGTTTAGGAGCTGAAAATAGAATCTATCATCTAAGTGATAAATTTATATTAATCATAATATAATGGGTAAATAGTCGCCATTTTATATTTTTCATTTCGCGCATGCGCGTTGTTTGTTTTTTAATTTATCGACTGCACAGTATAGCACGGTCAGTTTGACACCGTCTGTGAGAAACAGGGCATCATGACACAATTCACTCCGCCATTGGTCCTTCCCTGTGCCTCATCTTTCATGGTAATTGTTCGGTTGAATTTTTGACTATGGTACGTAGACTATTAGCGCAGTACTAGATTGGCGGAAAAGTTTCATCATTTTACATTTGAAATTGCTAGATGTGACCGTAAGTTACACATTAACAGTTTCTTTTCTCGCATTTATCGCTTGTGGAACTCTATCCCGGATCCATACTTTTCGGACAGCTTTGATCTTCAAAAATTTAAATGCATTGTCAATCGTTATCTACTGTCTTCTTGATTCCTCTTCCTTTATTCTTCTCACTTCTCGTCCTGTGGAACTCTCTTCCGGCTTCATGCTTTCCAGACAACTTTGATCTTCAAAAATTAAATGCAAAATCGTTATCACTGTCAATTATTATTTACTCTCTTCTGGCTTCATGCTTGATCTTCAAAAATTTAAATCAATGTCAATTTTTTATTCTTTTGATTACTCTTTTTTAATTCTTTCACTCTCAGTAACCCCTTGTGTCTTAGAGGTTTGACCGCCTTGCATGGGGTGTTATGGCTCATGCAGAATGCTTGGTACAAATTAATAAAACCACTCTTGTATTTAGAATCATAACGAGGCAGTCGAAATATCTAGGGCACATTATGAGCAAAGCAGGCTTGGGAAATTTAACACACACAGGACATATGAAAGTCAAGAGTGACAGAGGAAAGCAAAGAACAATCTACCTAATGAACTTTTGTAAATAATTGGCAAAGGGATAGCAAAAAGATAAGACTTACTAAGAGCTACAAAGGATATGAAGTCGTGGAGAACTGTGATCGCTCACGTCTTGAAAGGACATGGCCCATAGAAGAAGACGCCTGGCTGCTTAGTTTCATGCATGTTTCCACCGAACAAATTGCAAACCTACCCGAAAGATGCGTGTCCGTTATAAATTGATAGCCATTCTTTGTAGCAGCGCTAATCAGAATGAAAATCTCGTTCAATTCTTAATTTTTTTACTTCTTGCTTTCCGCCTTTTCGGCTTACGAATGATTTCATAAGCTCTTCTTTCGGGCAGCAGAGAGGCTAATATATTGATAACAAAAGAAGTACACAGTAAAAAAAAAAACGAAATAGGCTATTTTGCTGGTCCCGGCAAAATTAACGCAAATGCTATTTTGCCGGTTTCTGAAGATACTGTGAAGCCAAAACCCCTCTTGAAATGCCAACAGCATGGCTAGACGAAAATGTGACAATGCAGACGACATTTTAATCCAGATAGTTGGAAATCTATGCAACATGCTTATGGAGCATTGAGATTGTCAGCACAGTGGCTGTGTGAGCTGTGTAAGCAGGACTTGAATAACATGGATTCTGTGACCTGTGACTGTTGTCTTCCGTTGGTGTATCTGAAATATATTGGCATGAGAAACATGCCCAAGGGCAAGTTTGGGATTTGCTGAGACTGTTATGCCTGAAGTGCTTAAAATATTAAAAGATTTCTATATTTCTTTTAATGAATGAAGATGAATAAATGATTTTAACTTGATGGTGGAAAAGATTTTAAATTGTCTTAGCAATTGATGGTGAAAATAAATAAACTTCGATGTGTTGTTATTTTTAACATTACCTGTATTCATAATAATAAAAATAGTTACCGGCAAAATAGCCTGGAGCCTATTTTATCGAAACCGGCAAAATATGCATAAAAAAAACATTTTTTGTCTATTTTACCGGAACCGGCAAAATAGCCTCTTCAATAAATAGATAAATAAATAAAATGAAATAAAATAAAAATAAAATTAGAAATAAAAAAAAAGACGAAGACACCAGAATCAGGAATATGAATTTTGGTTGCTAGAATATTTGAAGGCGACGACAGTTTTGCCGACATTATCCATTTAAATATATATATATATATATATATATTTTTTTTATCGATACAAATATTTAAGTAAATGCCCTATATATAATAATTTTTTAATGTTTATACGTTGTTTTAAGAACGTATAAACATAAAAAAAAATGCCTTAAAAGATAATTGGCGGACATTGTCCATTTCAAAATGTGTGACGTCATTTGTTTACATTTGGATACGCATCAAGCAGATATGAATGTACGTGAGAAAATCATAGAGAATTGTGTTTAAAAAGAGTAAAATCAACCTTGCTAACCGAACGCTCCTCTGTGGCCCAATCGGCTAAGGCACGCCAGGCTATACGACGGTTCCGTATAGGATACAGGATCGATTCATGTCGGAGGACGCATAATATCTATGACAATTTCTCGGACATTAAGACCAGTAAATGTTGTTTAATACTGTTTATTATAAACAGAGCATTTACTTAAATATTTGTATCTATAAAAAGAACGTATAAACATAAAAGATGTAAAAAATAATTGTCGGACTTTGTCCATTTCATAATGTGCTACGTCATATATATATAAATATATATATATGTATATATATATATATATTACAATGAACCATTCATACAAAAAGTAAATTAGTAAAGTTAATGATATAAAATGGCGAAATCCCTTCACTAACAAAATTTTCTTAGTGAAGTGATTTCGCCATTTTATCTCATTAACTTTACTAATTTACTTTTTGCATGAATGGTTCATTGCAATATAAACTTATTGAACTGCACCACATATTTATATATATATATATATATATATATATATATATATATAAAGAAAAATATACTGAAAAACAAAATCCTAATATGCTGTTTTAATGTTTAATGTCAACGTCGGACGTTTCGCTCTAATAGACCATCTTCAGGACATATTCATATAACATAATTAACATTAGACCATATTCAATTCAACATAAAAAAAACAAAAAAAACTGAAGATGGTCTATTAGACTGAAACGTCCGATGTTGACATTAAACATTAAAACAGCATAATCGCATATTAGGATTTTTGTTTGTTTTTTCAGTATATTTTTCTTCATACTGTTGGATCTATATCCATATATTTGCTTTTATTTTATATATATATATATATATATATATATATATATATATATATATATATATATATATATATATATAAGGATTTAATTAAAAAAAGCTAACATCATAAAATATCCTAAATGTAAGATTTCCTTTTTATTTACAACTTTTGTTCATGTTGGGAATTTCATATAAGCTGAGTTCAGTGGCATTCGAACCCCGTCGGCTTATGATAGGCAGCAGGCACTTACCGCTGATAAAAGCTCATTTATGAGTTGAATAAAAAATTATTCTCTGAATATTAGTTTTCTCTGTAACACTTTATGGATTTGATATCAGATGAGGCAACAAAGCGTAAGATGCTTAGTAAATAATAATAATAATAATAATAATAAAAATATATTATTATTCTGTTTGGTTGTTATGTACGGCCGTTACGTTTTGCGACAAAAACTGGACTCAGTGACGGCTGCTTAAACGACTCGCCCGAAAGTGTATCTCAGTGATTTTTTGTCCCAATATCTTCACACTTTTCGTTTTTTTAACCACTCTTTCATTAATTCATTCATTCTTTCCTTTTTAATTTCTTTCTTTCGTTTTTTTCTTTCTTTTCGTATATATTTTATTTTTTACGTATTTCTTTTCTTTTCTTTTTCTTTCTGTCTTTTTCTTTCTTTTTTCTTTCTTTCTTTTTTCTTTCTTTCTGTATTTATTTGCTTTCTTTTCTTCGTTCTTTCTCCTTTTTTTTCTTTCTTTCTTCTTTCATTCTTTACGTATTTATTTTCTTTCTTTTTCTTTCTTTCTTTCTTTCTTTCTTTCTTTTTCTTTCTTTCTTTCTTTCTTTCTTTCTTTCCTTCTTTCTTTCTTTCTTTCTTTCTTTCTTTCCACATTTATTTTATTCTCTACGTATTTATTTTCTTTCCTTCTTCCTTTTTTCTTTCGTACTTTCTTTTTTCTTTCTTTCTGTATTTATTTGCTTTCTTTTCTTCGTTCTTTCTCTTTTCTTTCTTTCTTTCTTCTTTCATTCTTTACGTATTTATTTTCTTTCTTTTTTTTTTTTTTTTTTCTTTCTTTCTTTCTTTTTCTTTCTTTCTTTCTTTCTTTCTTTTTCTTTCTTTCTTTCTTTCTTTCCACATTTATTTTATTCTCTACGTATTTATTTTCTTTCCTTCTTCCTTTTTTCTTTCGTACTTTCTTTTTTCTTTCTTTTCGTATTTATTTTATTCTCTACGTATTTATTTTCTTTACTTCTTTCTTTTTCCATTCTTTCTTTCTTTCTTTTCGTATTTATTTTATTCTTTACGTATTTATTTTCTTTCCTTCTTTCTTTTTCCATTCTTTCTTTCTTTCTTTCTTTCTTTCTTTCTTTTCGTATTTATTTTATTCTTTACGTATTTATTTTCTTTCCTTCTTTCTTTTTCCATTCTTTCTTTCCTTCTTTCTTTCTTTCCGTATTTCTTTTCTTTCTTTTCTTTCTTTCTTTCTTTACATGTTTCTTTTCTTTCTCTTTTCATCCTTTCTTTCTTTCTTTCTTTCTTTCTTTCTGTCTCTCTGTATTTATTTTATTCTTTACGTATTTATTTCCTTTCATTCTTTTTTTTTTCTTTTTTCACCATTTCTTTCGGTTTTCTTTCTCAATTTTTCTTTCTTTTCCTTTAGGCATTTATTTTCTTCCTTTTGCTGATGAATTTTATTTACATGAATTCGTATTGAATATGCAAATAATGATAATTGTCGCTCTGATCTGTCAGAATATTTAGCTGCTAGCGTAATCTTAATTGTCAAATGCAACGTGGAATTTTCTTCCACGGGTCCAACGAGTTAAATATTAACATTGTTTTATGCGTTAAATTATAAACATAAAATGTAGCTTTGAATATTTATGAAAACTTAGTTTGGTACAAGGCCACAAAAAGAGGTCACCCAGTGAGATTTTAACTCACCACATAGTAGTAATGGCTTTACCCAACACTGATTGTTTGTTAGAGGGACTTGTGAACCATAACCAACTGACGGCTTGGCGCCACTTTTAAAACAGGTATTTCCTAAAATGACTTTAATCCGGTAGAAGTCTTTCGGGGAGAAACACTTAGCAAATATCGAAATTGCATCAATAGCAAAATGGACAGCGAATCGTGCTTGTTAACCATCACGTTACTTTGTGAGGAGTAACTAGCTAGCTCAAGGTGGTTCAAATTACTTCATATAACTTAGATGTACATATTTATTTATTTTTTTTAAAGAAATATAAAAGTTTTGGAATAAGGCATGTTATAAATGTGCGAGTTTTACATATATATATATATATATATATATATATATATATATATATATATATATATACCGGGTATAAGGAAAATTGTACAAATTGTGTAACAGCAAAATTATCAATTGTTAGATTAAACTTTGAACCGTTGTATCTTAGAAATGATTAAAGATATCTTACTGGAGTTCGATTTTTTATAACACTATTGTACTCTATTTTGAAAAATAAGAAGCTATTTAGCTGTAAATAGAAACAATAATCCCTCTTGATGTTGTGGTCACTTGAACCTGTTGTTCCCTCTTTTCTAAACTTATTCACCGTTTTCTTGATGGTTCTTGAGTGAAAGCCAGAGTAAAAATGTTTTTACTATTACTGATGGACTCAAAGATATTTTTTTTCTCACCATTGTTCAGTTGAGAAGACATAGTGAGGCTGACACAAAACGATTTTAACATATTCTTTTTCTAGCTAAGGGATTCTTACGACAAATGGTGTCAAGATAGCGAAACGTCTTATCTGAAAATCTGGAAAAAAACGAAAGTCAAATAGATGAATGGATTTTTAGATATTAAACATGGGATGGAAAATTACACCGTGATGTTACACGATTTGTACAATTTTGCTGTTACACCCGATATATATATATATATATATATATATATATATATATATATATATATATATATATATATGTTCTTTTTATAGATGCAAATATTTAAGTAAATGCTCTGTTTATAATAAACAGTATTAACAACAATTACTGGCCTGAATATCCGAGAAATTTTCATAAAAAATATGCGTCCTCCGACAGGAATCTAACCTGTATCCTATACAGAACCGTCATATAGCCTAACGTGCCTTTAACCGATTGGGCCACAGAGGAGCATTCGGTTAGCAAGGTCGATTTTACTGTTTTTAAACTACAATTCTCCATGATTTTCTCTCGTACATTCATATCTGCTCGATTTTACTGTTTTTAAACTACAGATTTCTCGGACATTCAGGCCGGTAAATGTTGTTAATACTGTTTATTATAAACAGAGCATTTACTTAAATATTTGTTTCTATGAAAAGAACGTATAAACATAAAAAATGTCTCCAAATAATTGTCGGACTTTGTCCATTTCACAATATATATATATATATATATATATATATATATATATATATATATATATATATATATATATATACAAAAAGGAGGTCGCGTCAAGATCGAATAGTTAGGAACTTTCGTGGGCGCCAAGTTCAAAATTTAAACGCGCAAAAATATACAAATGTTCCTTGTTTTTGCCAGATAAACAAAAGGAAAGTTGTTTGGAAAGTAATGTCGTATTTCTTGGAGTCGGAACTAATGAAAATGGTGGATCTACAAATGAACAAGCATTATAGTTAGCATGTACATAAACAATAAATTGACCCGCGATTAAACCTAAATTCTTTTCATAATTTGAATTCTTCATATTGTATCTTTGTCTGCTATATTCGAAAAATACAATAAAAATGTGCGACTGCACATAGCAATTTCTCAAATTGGTTAAAAAAAAAAACAGAAAAAAAAGAAAATACCTTTTTTTTTCTTTTTTAATAATATCATGTCCTTGAAGGACGTAGGCGATCAAAGCTCTCCACAGATTCCTCTTCTTAATTATCTGTGAATTGCCAGATATTCATGTGAAAGATAGTGGAGGTTATTTTCTGTTTCCGTCTCGACAGTTTGGAATACAGAGTTTTTCTTTTCTTCTTCTAAACGGGTTACCACCCAAGGCTACAGAGTCAAGTCTACCCTTCTATTTAATAAAGTTTGTTCAGAGATTAGCAAAATAAATGAATATTTCCAAAAATAACCCGACAAGAATTTCCCTAACGTATCAGAAGCATAATTGAAAGGAGTTGTTTTAATCCGTGAAAATTCCACGGTTTTCCTATTTGAAATTTCTGAATCTTAATTCTTCTGTTAATCATGGCGAGTTATACAGCAATAAAATAACCATTGAAATTCCTTTATCACATCGTTAAATATTTGAGCTTAAGAACTTTAAAAAAAATATTGAAATAATAATCGCTATGCTGGTCGTTATTTTGAGAAGTGGGTACAAATGAAAAGATTTGAAATTTACAACTTCTTCCATTTCACAGAAACAGCCATAAAACACTTCTATATTCCTTTCTTTTCTTATTCTCTCACTGAAACTTAAAGCATTATTAAGCGTCCGACGGACGACGCACCACGCAAGCACGATTCACAGACTTTTAGTCTCATATAGATCTTAATTCTTCAGTTAATGATTGAATAAGCTCATGGCGAATTCAAAGACAATAAAATATCCGTAAAAAAATTCCCCCTATCGCATCGTTAAATATTTGAGCTTAACAATTTGAACAAAATATTGCAATAGCAATCATGAATAGGATTTATTTGAAGAAGCAAGGGGGTACAAATGAAAAGATTTGAAATTGGCAACTTCTTTTCATTTCACTAAAATAGATGTTAAGCACTCCTGTCTTCCCTTCTTTCTTTCTTTCTTTCTTTTTCTCACTTTTCCTCTTCTTTTCATGCGATCAAAACGGAATAGTTCATTATTCAGAAGGTATTGGCAGGGTATAACGGTCGTACCAACTAAAGAAGGGTGGGACAGGTACAATCATAATAGGATATTTTGTTTTGGTTTCCTACAGGAATTCCTTTTTCCAATTTACACAACAAACTGGACTCCCTTATTAACTTTTATAAAATTTAATTAAAAAAAATTAAAAATGAAATAAAACAGGGTATTCGTCGCGCTTTTGTTTGATTCATCTATTCTATAGTAATATAAAAAATAAGTTTAAAAAAGGATTTCTGATCACAGTTCCAATTGTATGTGGAAAAAAATATGGTTACTAACTTCCTTTGGAATACTGGAAAAATTGAACTAATTTGTTGGGTTATCTGATGTCGCATATATGTCTAACGAGACAAACGTCACAATTATCATGTGACGGCATGTACGGCGCACTTTTTTTTTTTTACTAAAATAAAATCTTTTAAAATCTCTCTGCGCCTTATATGCCATATGTAGATTTCAAATTCACAATAGTCGGCTGAAATTAGCTACCTGGCAACTCCTATTAGTTTAGACTTAAACATGAAGGAGCAATGGAACATATGGATGGCAATACCTCATCACGACTTTACACTTACAGGAAGAATAAAAATACCCAGCATTGTATATGTCTGCGAATGGGTGAAGCAAACTTGGGATAATATTAGACCAGAAATTGTTGTGAAATCTTTTACAAACTGTGGCATTAGCAATGCTCTCAGTGGAACGGAAGATGGTGCATTATTTAACGACGATGATAATAGTATTGAAAATGAGTATCAGAGTTTTGATAACGAAGACGACCAATTTTATGGATTTGAAGATTAATAAAATTTTAATGGTAACTGTACCATTTTGCTCATTTGTAATAACTGCTTGATTTTTTTTATTTTGTTTTCTTACCTTTGGATATAATAAAGCTTTTATAGGCTCGTGTTCTTTTTTCCCTATTATTTTTCGTTTAATTGTAATCATGGCTTGTTTAACCAAAATAATACCTCATAAATAGAGCCTACTAATTATTTTACTAATTGCTATTTTTTCTTGAGTTTCCCTACTGAAATTGGGTACGTCTATATACACCTGTGCGTAGTGAAAAGTTACAATTAATCGCTATCAAAATATTAAATATTTCCATAATTTAAAAAAAAAAAGTTTTATATAATATAATTGAAAATAAAGTTCAAAATATTTATTGGAGATCGACTCGGAATTTCGTGATTCCTCACTTGACAGTTTATACTTACAAGTGTCAGATCTTTACAATAATTGAAAACCTAAATATTCATTATATATATATATATATATATATATATATATATATATATATATATATATATATCTGTGTATATATATATATAAGTCTTATTTGAATGCTTTATATGAATTATGTATTATTGACTTCGAACAAATATTGCGCTAAAATTATACCATTAAAATTATAACATAAAAAAAACTATTGAACAGGAGTAGAGGTTTGTCCCTTGTTTCCTGTTTAGGATTGGGTTTCCAGTTTCTTCTGAAATATACTTCAACTCTATACTTCTAATGTCTCCTCCCGAACGCTGAAATTTTACTCGATAATTATTTATTTAATTTTTTCCCTCAATAGGAGTAGATAGGTTCGTCTATCGTCCGGTTCACACTTCTCCCCAGTCTTTTGAACAGGAGTAGGGGTTTAACCCTTGTTTCCTGTTTAGTATTAGGTTTCCGGTTCCTTCTAAAGTCTTCTTATTCTCTTTCACTCGTCTTAGTGACCTTATCGCCTTGCTTGGAGTGAACTGATTAAAAAATAATAAGTTTATTATTTTTTATTTTAATATTTTTATGTTCAAAACTAAGGGAGATAATTTTATTACTTTTATGTAATATTTTATACATTGTTTTATAAAATGTTGACCAATCCTTTACTTGATCTCTCCTTTACCTGACAAATTGACCTCTCATTTTCTTTACAAATTGACCTCTCCTTTACTTTACAAATTGATCTCTCACTTACTTTATAAATTGATCTCTCCCTTACTTCATGAATTAATCTCTTCTTTACCTTACAAATTGACCTCTCCTTTTTTTTACAAATTGATCTCTCCTTTATCTTACAAATTGATCTCTCCTTTACCTTACAAACTGATCTCTCATTTACCTTGTAAAATTGATCTCTCCTTTACTTTACAAACTTTTACCACTAAAACATATTTAGGTGAGTTAAATTAATTAAAATTTAATGGCGTTATATCCAGTGATGAAACACGATGAACTCCAACCTCCCAACTTTATCATTTGATCTTCTGAACACATTTTATTGAATCAAGACCCATCTCATCCTTACGAAGATTAAAACTTTGTGTTGATTTAATTTATAATTCTATTGTCTGCTAATTAAGGAGGGAGAATATATAATTTATTTTCTCAGGATAACCAAATATGTCGCTGTAAAAAATTCCAATTGTTACAGAATCTGTTTCGCTGAACTAGTACTTAAAAAAAGGCATAAATTCATTTTTTTCCAATTAAGTGTCAAATAGACTGAGCTGTTGGCTGGCAGCTAGTCTAGAAAAATTAAAACAGTTTAGAATTCAAATCATGTCTTCCTGGAGGTGTAATATCTAAGAACTGGTACTGTTCCTAGGTGGTACTGTTCCTAGGTGGTGACATAAAGGTTAATCTCTGATAATAAATCACGAGAGCAGGTGTTAGGAGATAATCCAAACCCTCGTAGATAATAGGGTAGACTGGGCTCTTTGCCTTGGTAGGGAAATTAGAACAACTCTGAATTCAAAACTAGACTGAGAATCTGAAGAGGGCTAGAGACCGTCAGGCTATGTAGCCTTAGGCACGCCCACTGCAGATACGGCTGCAGTATATATGTTGACACCTACTCACGACTCTAATGATTTACGTTGCTTAGATCGTGGTAGTTTTTTTGTGTGTGTGTGTAATACATCCAGATTTCTTTCAACAAGAAATTAAATTGAATTAGTTTCATAGCGGGCTTTTCTTATTGTTAACAATGATCATTATGTTCTTGATAAATCGACATAATTCCGTCCCCAAAATACTACATTTATTTCCGGATAACCTAAACATTTCACTGTAAAAAAAAAAATGTCCAGTTTACATAGAATTTAATTGTTGGATTACTTGAAACATGAATGCAGCCATGAAAATAGCTACAATGAAGATCTCCGGCGATGTGTCTATGCAGAGAGCGCAGAATGTAAATGAACTAAGCATAAAGGTGGTCGCTAAGACTCCACCGGTGTGATCTATTGTCTTCCGTGGTGGCCGTTTTCGCTGACCCTTTGGAGGTGGCTGTTTCTTTTTTGTTACTGCTAACTGGTTACCGCTGGCGACAGAATCTTGGCCACTAGTTGCATTACCTCCCAGAGAATCTTCGTCAGTATCACTCGAACAATGACGTCGGCGACCGGCCAACGGTTGGTCGTTTTCCAACCGGTCCCGATCGTTGTCTGTGGATTGTGAAGTCATATTTGAACTTTGGTGCGCTAATTGATTGGAATTTGCGTTATTTCTGTTGCAGAAGGTACAATGGCGTGAACTGCTGGTGCAAACGTCGCATGGGGAGGACCCGTTGTCGTCTGTTTGAAGAGAAGAAGACAACGACGAGTGTGAACATGAAAGAGCTGTACCGTGGACGTCGTCCCGGCTTAGAGAGTTCGAATCGGAGGTTGAGAAATTTGGGTGTAAGGTGCTGGGAGCTTCTGTTAGGAGAGGGGCTGTGTGCGTTAGCATATCAGCTGGGATAGTGTCCGCGAAAACCTCATCGTCATCATTCGATTCATTTGCGTAGAATGATTCGCCATGACTGTCTACATCATCGTCACCTAGAGAACAGAATAAACAAAAAAGAAAAAAAAAACATTAGAAAACATGTCAAGCGAGAAATACAAAATCCATACAAATTAACAGTACTCCACGAAATCCCCAAGGGAGATTGACAAAAAGCTTTCTATTATAAATACCTAAGATGTGCAGCAGCCGTGTTAACCGAGAGCGAATTAGCGTGAGTTATAAATTAGGGATGTTATAAAGGCTAAGGTTAAAGCATTAATTACGGAAGGTGTTTCGTTACAATAAAATGAATTAGCACCTGGAATTATCTGGGTTTGAGCTTATCTTGTAGGATCGAATGAAACAATGAGGTCCCACCTTTTACCCGTACTCATCGTGACAACTGAGATAAGCCAGCTGGCCTTAAACTAAGTCGGATCTTGGCCGAAATTTAAAGTTGGTATTTGTATAATTTATAATGCCAATCACCCTTTTTTGACTTGATTGTATATTAGCTGAGGTCAATGCAGATGATCTGAGCGGAGTGTGTCCTACTCGTTGCTAGCATGGATGCAAATCAACTTGTAACCTGACACTTGAAAGGAACCTGTTACCCCATAAAAATAGTTGAAATAGAGAGAGAGGGAGGGAGGGGAGAAATAGAGAGAGAGAGAGAGAGAGAGAGAGAGAGAGAGAGAGATTCATTCCGCTGTTCATAGTCGAAGAGAGAAGGTCTCCGTCCTCATGACAACCTATTGCCATCTGACTAGCTATACACTCAGCTAGAGAGAACACGTATTTTGTCTCTAGCTAATATACAATAGTCAGATGATAAGGAAGCCCACCTTGTAAAAATCAAATACTTGTATAGAGAACGAAGGACAAAGATAAGTCAAGTAGCATCATTTAAATAATTCATCATCATCATCATCTATGTATCACATCCCTTCAGAACGTGGGCGATAACGGCTCTCTACAACTTCCTATCCATTGTAGTTCGTAGTAAGGTTTTCGCCGTCTCTTCTACTCTATGTTCTGCCATCCATTTGCCCAAATTTGACTCGCTGTTTCCCTCTCACCCTCTTGATTTCAATGTGACGTGTGTGTGTGTCAAATTCACCCAGCCTTCTTTCCTAATTATGTAACCTGATATTTCAACTGTCATTTTTTTATTCTAAATAGAAGCGTCCTTTTTGTTCCCATTTTCTTTAAATGCTTCGCCGCTATTCACAAGTTCAGTCTAGGATATTCTCAGTATCCTTCTGTAGAATCACATTTCTGATGCAATAAATTCTTCAGTACTCATTCCGATAAGGAGGATTGATATTACATAAAAGTACAGCACTCTTTTCTTTGTAAGAACATTTTTCCATTTTTTTCCTTATTTTTAATTTTTTTAATATTTTACTTAGATTCTGGAAGCTAGTCACTGGATCTAACCAATGTCCTTATCCACTGGGCCGTGTGTCCTAGACACAAAGTGTTGTGAGTTCAATACCAGGCCACAGCAGTGGTGAATCAAAAAATTGGAAAGTTGAGTTAAAGAGAAAAAACTGAGACATCCAGAAGAGGCATGGCACGTGGAACTAGAACAATATACTCCGGTGGACGAAATAAAAGGTTCAGTTCGACATTCCAACCACCTGAAGAATCCCTGAGCGTACAACGGCCGAAACGTTGTAATAAATATGGCGACAAAGATGAGAACAATAGTCCGAATAATGTAAATAGTGTACATAATACCTCATCTCAGAAATATAGACAGATACTGAAAGGCCAAAACGTTGTAATAAATATGGCGATAAAGATGAGGACAATAGTCCGAATAATGTAAATAGTGTACATAATACCTCATCTCAGAAATATAGGCAAATACTGAAAGGCCGAAACGTTGTAATAAATATCACGACAAAGAAGAGGACAATAGTCCGAATAATGTAAATAGTGTACATAATACCTCATCTCAGAAATATAGAGAGATACTGAAAGGCCGAAACGTTGTAATAAATATGGCGATAAAGATGAGGACAATAGTCCGAATAATGTAAATAGTGTACATAATATCTCATCTCAGAAATATAGACAGATACTGAAAGGCCGAAACGTTGTATTAAATATGGCGACAAAGATGAGGACAATAGTCCGAATAATGTAAATAGTGTACATAATACCTCATCTCAGAAATATAGACAGATACTGAAAGGCCAAAACGTTGTAATAAATATGGCGATAAAGATGAGGACAATAGTCCGAATAATGTAAATAGTGTACATAATACCTCATCTCAGAAATATAGGCAAATACTGAAAGGCCGAAACGTTGTAATAAATATCACGACAAAGAAGAGGACAATAGTCCGAATAATGTAAATAGTGTACATAATACCTCATCTCAGAAATATAGAGAGATACTGAAAGGCCGAAACGTTGTAATAAATATGGCGATAAAGATGAGGACAATAGTCGAATAATGTAAATAGTGTACATAATATCTCATCCAGAAATATAGACAGATACTGAAAGGCCGAAACGTTGTATTAAATATGGCGACAAAGATGAGGACAATAGTCCGAATAATGTAAATAGTGGACATAATACCTCATCTCAGAAATATAGAGAGATACTGAAAGGCCGAAACGTTGAAATAAATATGGCGACAAAGATGGGGACAATATTTCGAATAATGTAAATAATGTACATAATATTAGGTTAGTGCAAAAATAATGTCGTTTTTTGACGTTAAGTTGAACGTCAAAAAACGACATTATTTTTGCACCAACCTAATACCTCATCTCAGAAATATAGACAGATGATCGGGCGATTAAATCTCGTGATAGTGGAAAAGTAGCCTTAGCTTATCAAGAAGGATGAAGCTCTTACATTTACGGCTAGGTTTAAAAGAATGTCTCCTGAGGTAAGGAATATGGCCGCTCAACTAGGTGCAGAGGAAGTTAGAAATGCATGCAAGAGGCATATCGCGTGTGTCACATTGCCAGATAAGCGGACAGTGGCTGCAAACGCGGGCATATGCGAGGCTTTTAGAATCTGTTAATCAGGGAGCCCGGTCAATGCCTATTTGGCCGTCTTTTCCTGCCCACTCATTCAGACACAATAACAATTACGAAAGAACACACTCGAAAAACGAAAAGTGTCCAACATCTACCAGAGAACTGACATTCCTGGTCGCCCAACGGCTGAAGCTGCGAGTGTCCCGTTACAGAGTTTGAGATCTAGGAAACGCAGAAGCTAGTTAGCCGGGACAAAACTCCGGGATTAGATAGTCTTCCTTACGAACTGTACATGAGGCAATCGCCCGTTCTTGTTCCATTACTGGAAATGATTTCCAACAACTGGATGAAGCAGGAGTCTATATCTCAACGCTTCACCAGAGCAAGTTACTACGCAAAAACAAGAACGGTGGAAGTGAGGTAGGTAATCGGCCTAGCGTTGAGATTCGTCAATATACGCTTCGCATCGATTTCCTAGATAGAATGTGTTCGCGCGCGGATGGAAACGGTAAATTCTGGAAGGAAGACGCAAGTAAGAACTTCCCGTCCCTGAGAAGTGTGCATTTGTGCGAGGAGGAGGCCAACCGTTTACCCCGAACCGAGTGCTCCTATCATGAATGCCGGTTACCTGTCAAGCTTATATCAGGTGTTAATGGGCGGAGGTCCGTTCCAGATGGTCTGATTGGCGAACTCGGTTTAACGATGCAGGAGATTTACTCCATATAGCCTTGGGCGCCCCGGTTGAAATGCCTCACTAATGATGATGTATCATTCATCTGGCCGGTGATGCCAAAGGCCATCTGGGCCGGCAAAAAACTTTCTTCGTTGGATTTGGGAAATTCTCCCAACTGCGTCCGCTGTGGGGAGTCGGTGGAGACCCTGGGTCATCTCTTCTTCGACTGCAAGCTCGTAGTTCCGTTGTGCAAGTTTATTGAAATCATCATGGTTAGTCCAGTTCTGTTTGTAGCAATATGGTAGCTTTGTTTGCTAAGGCTGAGCACTATGTGTTCTCGTGCTTACTGAGTGTTATGCGATGCATGGCATGGAAGACGCGACAGAAGGACTTCTATGGAGACGAGAAGTTTACCTCTTCCCGCCATCATAATTTGACAAAAGATCTTACGCGTATTTGTCGTGTGATAGGAGGCGACTTATTTTGAAGCTAGTCTGGCATTAGGATATTGGGAACTCTGCATTAAACGTTGGCGCCAGTCGGGAAGAATTATAATGACGTCACGGCGAGTAGCGTAAGCCAGACATAATAACCGCTTGTAGTTTGTTATAGCAGGATATATATTCACAACGTTTCGGTCTTCTTTAGTTGTCTGTATTCGTACTCAGAAACTATCTTGGAATTTCGAACACAGTTCTTTACTCGATCTACGTAAGAAGTTTATTCGTATTACGCATTTTATGCTTTTTTTATTTTCTTTAAGTTAAGTTAACTATGCTAGGGGACGTATGCGCTTTGGCCCCATTTATTTTTGTCTCGACTTTAGTTTAATTCCCAATCTCCTTCCCCAGTTAGGTGACTAGAGATGTTAGTTCACTAGTGAATGTGGGACACTTTTCGTTTTTCGAGTGTGTTCTCTCGTATTTCTTAACGTGTCTGAATGAGTGTGTGGTTTTAATTGTCCTTGGTTAAATTATTGGGTTTTTAATTCATCCAAGTCCCGTCTAGTCTAGTTTTTTTTTTAAGCATTTCACCCCATGCAAGGCGGGAAGCCACTAGAACACAAGGGGTTACAGAAAATTTGGAGCAAGATCAGATAGGAGTGATAGAGGAAAGGATGAGGAGAAGGGTAGTGGATAGATTAAGGCAACTGGAGATGTCGATTGACATTACACTTGAATAGCTGCAGATTATAGCACACAGGGAAACAGGAGAAGGGAAAGGAGTTCCACAGGCGAGAGGTGCGAGACATGAAGCTATTAGAGTAGAAGAGACGGCTACATTTAGGAGTTTTGACAGTGAAGGGGTGAGAGCGGGATGCTAGCCTCGTAGGGCGCTGGAACTCATGAGGTCTGGGAACCAGCGAATGCAGCTCTTCGGAGCAATTTCCGTGAAAGTATTTGTAAAACAGACAGAGAGAGGCGACGGCGAGTCTGTGAGAAAGTGACTGTAGATGAGATGCCAGAGCAGGGCCAATTATATTGCATATCCGCCTCTGGAGCCTATAAAGAACCCCGAGGCAAACAGAAAGGGCACCAGACCATATATGGCAGCAATACTCCATGCAAGGGCGAATTGTTGATTTGTAGATCTGGAGGATCGATTCCGGGGAGAAAAATTTCCTGGCGCGGCACAGGGAGCCAACTTTCCTTGCGGTGGACGAAGCAATTGACTCGATGTATTTATTCCATCTCAGGTCAGCAGTCAATGTGAGACCGAAAAGCCGCAGAGAGTTGCTCTCGAGAAGTTGTGGGTCAGACATTCTAATGGAGGGAAGGGAAGGCTCTCTGTGGTGATTAATAGAGAGCAGTTTTGTCTTCGAAGCGTTGAAGTTGACCAGCCAATTCTTGTCCCAGTTCACAATCGATTGGAGGTCCTTTTCGAGACGCACGGCCAGGTGAGTTTTGTCAGCGAGACTAGATTTGTTTTTGAGGCAGGAATAAATTGTGGTGTCATCCGCGTAGATGCCAACTTGGGGAGTTACGGCGTCAGGAAAGTCATTTATGTAGATAAGGAATAGAGTGGGGCCTAGGATGGAGCCTTGAGGGACACCTGCGTTCGTGGGATAGGAACTGGAGGAGA